CAGTCTCAGTTGCCTTCTCAGTGTGTCCTGGGGGCGGGGCCATCATGGCAATATGGGGATCAAATCCTGGTCGCTGCACCTGGATAAGCAGGTGCTTTAGTCTGCTGAGCTATCTGGATGGTCCTTTAAGGTTTATTTTAAAGAGAGTATAATAATTTATAAGACATTAGGAACAGTGCATATTTAGAAGACTACGATGAGAGGCAATCTACCATGGGTTTTGTGTTACACATTACTGTCCTCATGCAGTTGCTCAGATCACAGATATCAGCATAGAGTTAGTCAAGGTGAAAACTGTAAACATTAACTGCTATTTAAAAAAAAAACTGATGGAAAATTTTAGCACAGTCTTCTCAGCCATCCTGTATATATACTTTCATGTTTTTCCCTCCTTCCTTTTTCCCTACCTTTTCTCATTTCTCTCATCTTTTTTGTTTAATGCTTAAGTTCAGTTTCTTTCCATTTTTCTATATCTATTAAACCTTTCAGGTTTTATTTCTTCTTTCAGGTTCTTACTAGGGAGATAATACGATAGTTGCACATGTTCGTCTGATTATTTCACTTATGAGTGTAGCCTCTAATTGCATCCATGGTGTGTACAGGGTCTAAAAAAAATCATTGAAATTTCAAAGTCCTGAGCCTTTTAGATCTGCCCTGCCTTCATGTTACAGGTGAAGGATGTGGGGAAGTTGAGTGCTGAGCATTTTACTTTGGGATTAGGATTAGCCTTGTTGTAGGCAAACTGAGGAACTACATAGGTACTAACTTCTGTCATTCCTAAACTTATGCATGAATAGTGACATTGTGATTATGATGCTGATGCACAAATTGAATCACAGCATTAATCGCACAATGCCTTATCTTATTTTTCCAGTCTTAGAGTAAATTGCAAACAAATTTACATTGAAAGTGTACAATACAATGTTGGATAGATGCATGCTTTGTGAAATTATTGCCACAGTCAAGCTAATTAACATACCCACCACCCCATATAGTAGGCATTTGTGTGTATATGTGAGTGTATGTGTGCATATGTGTGTGTTTGTGAGTGGAAAGAAGAGTGAAGATATTTTAGATTTATTGCAAATTTATGACTGTTCATTTTCCAATGAGTGAGAATTCCTATGGTGAAAATTTTCAGCTATGCTACTATGTTAAAATTCTGAAGTATAAATGCACATAGTGTCACAGTGACTGATAACTGTGATTTCTGTGAACATTAAGTGAAAAAAAATCAGTAAGTACATTCAAGTAACTTCTGAGCAGAAAAACAGACTGAGGTTTCTTTTTCTTTTTTTTCATAATTTTATTGAGAAACAAATAGCAATGAGACAGTTTCAAATCAAATTGGTAGGACAGTTTCAATAATTAACACATTGCATACATTCTTCCT